GGTTGGGTGGTTGGTTGGGTGGTTGGGTGATTGGGTGGTTGGGTGGTTGAGTGGTCGGCTGGTTGCGTGGTTGGGTGGCTGCCTAGCTGCCTGGCTGGCTGGCTGGTTGGTTGGTTGGTTGGTTGGTTTGTTGGTATGTTTCTCGTGTCTGCTTGCTTGCTTGCTTGCTTGCTTGCTTGCTTGCTTGCTTGCTTGCTTGCTTGCTTGCTCGCTGGCTCGCTTGCTTGCTTGCTTGCTTGCTTGCTTGCTTGCTTGCTTGCTTGCTTGCTTGCTTGCTTGCTTGCTTGCTTGCTTGCTTGCTTGCTTGCTTGCTTAGTTGTTGGTTGGTCGTTTGTTTGTTTGCTTGCTTGCTTGCTTGCTTTGTAGTTGGTTGGTCGTTTGTTTGTTTGCTTGCTTGTTTGTTTCTTTGTGTCTTTGATTGTTTGTTTGATTGACTGATTGATTGCTAGTTAGTTTGATTGTGTGATTGTTTGCCTGGTTGTTTGTTTGTTTGTTTGTTTGTTTGTTTGTTTGTTTGTTGGTTTGTGTGATTGTGTGTTTGATTGTGGGTTTGTTTGTGTGTTTGCTTGTTTGTTTGTTTGTTTGTTTGTTTGTTTGTTTATTTGTTTGTTTTATTGTTTGATTGTTTGTTTGTGTGCTTGTTTATTTGTTTGTTTGGTTGTTATTTTGTTTGCTTGCTGTAAGAAAGTGGGCCGCGCATGCACAGAGGCATCCGAATTGCAAGCTCGTGGCCGTTTCTTTCACGGGCTTCAACCATGTCGATCTGGAGGCCGGGTGTGGTGTCTTTCTAGGTTTTGGGTTTGGGTGGGGGATCGTAGAGCATCAGGGCGAACTATGACCGCTGACATATTCCACATGCATTTTGTGTTCTTCTGTCGCTCAACAGCTGCATCTAAAGCTTCTGGGGGAAGGGTCCTTAGTGGTTCAAATTTAGCACCATCACATTAAAGTTCCTACTTTGTGGCCAGATCAAATTCGGTACCCCTATAGCCCTGGGCCCTGCAAAGAAAGGTTCTCTGAGCATGACCGAAAAGGGTTAACAAGTAAAGCCAGGATCTGCTTAACCCCCGAACCTTAGAACCTAAACCCCCAAAGTCTAAACCCTAAACCCCCAAACCCTGAACCCCCAAACCCAAAACATCCCTAAACCCTAAACCCCCAAACGCTCAACTCGAAACCCTAAGCCCCCCCAAACCCCCAAACCCTCAAACTGCGCCAGCTTGGTGCTCTCTCGGCCATCTCTAGGCTTGCAAGAAGAGGGGCATCTCCGTGGTGAATGCCTGGAGCCCACAGGGTTTAGGTTTAGGGTTTAGGGTTTAGGGTTCAGGTGTAATATAGGAGCCTTAATAATTAGAATAGGGTTTGGGTATATTATACTATAGATATAGTAAGGAACCCCCAAGAACCTATTCTAATCAGTAAGGCCCCTACATTCATCACAACAGTGCAGATGACAGCCCTGGTGATGGTTCGATGCTCATGGCGACCGGAAACAGATTCAGAAATACTTCACTTTCTACACACTGGTAGTCCCTAAACCCTAAGACTCAACCTAAAACTCTACTGTTCGAAGAGGGAGTGGTAATACTCGCGGGCAGCCGGTTGAGCAAAAGCAGGCGGGCCCTTTGTTTTCGGTGCTTTACCCTTTGTGATTCAAGCTTTTGGGTCTGAGTCTGCAGGGTATGAAGGTTTGTTGGGCCATTGGGGTTTGGGCTTTTTCTGAATAGTGATAACATAGGGGCTTTAATATTGTCTCTACTTTTACTATCTGGGGGGCGTCCTCATTCTACGTATAGTATAATATGCCCCAAAACCCTATTCTAATCATTAAGGCCCTATATTACATGGTGTAGGAAGCAGGGATTCGAGTGTGTGTGAGTGTGTGTGTGGGGGTCTCGAGAAACCTGCATATCCTGAAGCCGAGAAAGGCCGCAGCCACGACAAGACATGTTTAGGGTTCAGGGTTTAGGGTTCAGGGTTGGGGGTTTAGGGTTTAGGGTTCAGGTCTATAGGGTTTAGGGACAGCAGCAATGCGCGCGGAGGATTTATGGGTTCTGTTGAGGGTTCTATAATGGAGTTTAGGGTCTAGGTTTTAGGGTTCAGGGTTCAATGAACCCCAAACCCTTTACCCTTTCGGTTTCGGGTTGAGGTATCCCTTGCCTCAGCCAAGGTTGAACCTCTTGTTCAGCCCCTCCTCTGGGCGAATCCGCACTCCCATGCCATCTACACCCTATAGGCCCTAAACCGTTTGGGGTTCAGGGTTTATGCCTAATACCTGCATATCCAGAAGTTTCTCGCAACCGCTGCAAAGCCCTCAAAGCCAAAGCCTTAAAGCCCCAAGCCTAACACCTGAGAACCACCAGACACCGAAGATGCCCTCAAGCCCTAACCTACTGTAATTAAATACCCCAAT